AATGTATTTATTTATTTAACTGCTTCTCTTCCAACTGTGTCTTCCTAAGCTCCTTGAAACTGAATCGTTTTCTCCCTATACTAGAATCACCATTGATGTATTTGTATATCACTATCTCCTCTCAATCATCTCTTCTCCAGGGAGAATAAGTTTAATGCTTGTAGTCGTTCCTCATAACCAAGGTCCTTCAGTCCCCTTATTAGCTTTGTTGCCATTCTCTGGACTCTCTCCAGTTACAGCACATCATTCCTGAGGGCTGGTGACCAGAACTGGACAACATACTCAAGATGTGGTTGGACCAGAGTTTTGTAAAGTGGTAGAACTATAGTTTTATCTCTTGAGTAAATATTGATTTTGATGCATGCTAATAGTCTGCTTGCTGCAGCAGCTTGACATTGCATGTCATTGTTTTGCCTCTAATCTACTAGAACCCCCAATATCCATTTTCAATCCCCTAAAGGTTCTTTCCCTAACAAATGGCGTACATTAATATTTTTAGCCCCCAGGTGCATTATTTTAAATTTTGTTAACATTAAACCTCATTTGCCAGGTAGTTGCCCACCCCTATATTTTTTCTTCAAAAAGTTTCTTTTAAAGTTTCTGTATGTAGTCTCAAAAAAAATATAGTCATTGTTTGGTAGCATCACACCATTTACAAAAGAGATTTGCATTTGCTGTATGTGTAGTTGTTCTTATTCTCTTTCTATAAACGTCAAGTGCTAGACACAATTAATAAGGAAAAAAGGATAAAGCTAACATTCCTTTATCATTTTACTTTTTGTACAGTCTACATTTGTTCCAAAATGACCCTAATACACATTTGCCAAAGGAAGCAAGACCCGCAAATAACGTCCTCCTCAGTGCTCTGTTTTTCTTTTTTTTTTTCTTTTTATGCTATGTATCCAGGCGAGTATCAACAGCTGATTTTTATGTTTTCAACATCAGTAAGGTAACTCCATGACAAAAGATTACATTTGTCTTCTGCATAATGGGATACAAAGGTTAATTTACTCTGCAACTCTTAATTACTTGCTCAGACCTTTGACACTCTTCTAATTGTGGAGCTAGAAGATGTGCGCAGCAAAAGTAATGAATGACTATGACTATTTTTTTTTTAGTCACAGTAGGTAACTAATTACTTTAACCAGTTTTGCAAAGTGTATAAAAACTAGTCACTGCTGAGGTTCAAATAGCTGATTATAAAGAGAAGTAGAACATGCATATTTATGAGGCTCTGTACGGAATCTTTGATCAAACCTTATCTTATTCTATTACATTCGGCGGGTAGCTTGTACGCAGGACACCTGGGCTCATTTGTAAAAACAAGAATAATGAAAATACAGTAGAAGGAATGTCACTCCTTGGAAGCCATTCAGATGTTTCCTTTCTTTGTCTGATCTTCAATAGAAAAATGACAGCTGGATGTTGATTGGTGGGGTTTCTTTTCACTTGGTTTATACAAAAAGCCCACAGCTGGATTCTGACTACTAGTGAACTCAGAGCCTCCAGCAGCCTGAATATTAAGTTTTAAGTGATAATTAAATTGTTTTGCTGACTTACGTATGAAAAATAAAAGTAGATATAAATCTAATCACTAAAATTGTGTTTAGCCGTAACAGGTAATATAGTTCCAAAGGTTGTTTTTAATATTTGTAAAGATCAACTCCAGGAAACTTGAAAATGTTGCTTGTTTGGTATGGGGAAGAGTAAAAGTGCTTTTACTTGGATGATATCTGCTCCCCTGGAAGGTGGCACTCTCAACATTCCAGCAGAGGACTGTCCCTTAGCTATAGACTCTACATTGGTCTTGAAGACATCAGCTCTCCAAACCACTAGAGCAAAGTGGAAAAGGCACTGCAGGGACCAGACTAGCATCATGGATGAAGAAAGGATTAGGTAAGTAAATCTACTTTAACAAATAGATTTCTAAATGAGCAATTAACCTGAAACCAGTAGGGTACAGCCCCACTGCAAGGGATACCTCTCAAGCTTCTGGCTTTACATTGTATTGTAATAATAGTATACCTAGGGATAATATCATGATGGCCCTTGTTTAGGCACTTCTCATTAAGAGGTGACAACTGTGTCCCAATTGTACTCCTTCATTGTCACCCTACCCTGTACATCCATGGTGCCAGCACACATCTCACAAGAATGCTCTGCCTTTGTCACTCTTTAGAAGCCTATTCAAAGAAATAATGTGCAGTCAATGGTGGGGTGAGTGCATATAGACAGGAAGTAGCCAAAAGAAGCCAGAGGAGATCAGCAGTATTGAGATGTCATGACGAATAAAAGCATGTGAAAGTATACTGTGAAAAACAAAAATGGCAACTGTGATACACAGTGTGCTCAAACATGATATATCATCCAGTTTTTTAGATATACTTTAGGGCTTGCTCACATCATGTGCAGAGATCTGCTATTTTCTGCACCTGATCAATACAGGTCTCCTCAGGAGAGACTGGCTTTTACACTACAACAGAGCATTTGGGAGCAGAATGGAAAGGTGCAGAAAAATGCAGCAGGAAATCACTATTGTTTGTGTCCTTGCTATGAAATTTTCAGTTTGCTTTCTGCCCCAGAGACCAACACTTCCTGCATTCTCCATGCATTCTTTTAGGGAATCTACAGTGTAGAAGGTGCTGGTGATAGCGTGACTGGCTTTATTGTGGATTTTCTACTGGAAGGCAAACAATATGCTCACTTTGCAAGGGAAGTTGCACTTTACAAGGGAATTTGCACCAAAACTTTGATGACTTCCATCTTCCAATCATATGCAAGCAAAAATGCTGTTTCTTTCCTGCATGTGATTGGGTATGTATGCAGAGTGCAACCGCAATACATGTACTGAGTTTCAACTCATTCAAGAAGCTCTGGCGCAAATTCAATTGCAAAGTGCAATTTTCCTTGCAAAACGAACAGACTATTTATTTGACTTTAGTTAATTAACCCCAAAGTTTGTTAGCTCAAAATATTTTATTTTAATAAAAGATACAAGAAAATACCGTATTTTTCGCTCCATAAGACGCACTTTTTTCCCCCCAAAAAAGGGGGGAAAATGTCAGTGCGTCTTATGGAGCGAATGTAAAGCGGCCGGTCCGGTATTTCTGCCGTCACCATGTCAGAATATCGGGCCGGCCGCTCAGCTCTTCTCTCCTGCAGGACCTTACCTGTTCCTCACTCCAGCGCTGCAGTCTTCCCGCGGCGGCTTCTGTGACAGCCGGGTGCCCACTGCGCATGAGCGAGAAGCGCTGCGCTTTGTGAATGGTCCGGTGTCTTCTGGGACACGACAGGTCCCAGAAGGCTCCAAGCCATTCACAAAGCGCAGCGCTTCTCGCGCATGCACAGTGGGCACCCGGCTGTCACAGAAGCCACCGCAGGAAGAAGAAGGAAGGACAACTCTGCGGAAGTGGGAGCGGGTACCTGTCAAATTCAGGTACCCGTTCCCCCTCCCTCCCCAAAGGTCCGCAGTCTCTGGTAATCTCCTTTACTGTCTGCAGTCTCTGATCATCACCTGTACTGTCCGCAGTCTCTGGTCATTCCCTGTACTATGTCCGCAGTCTCTGGTCATTCCCTGTACTGTGTCCGCAGTCTCTGGTCATCTCCTGTACTGTGTCCGAAGTCTCTGGTCATCCCCTGTACTGTGTCCGCAGTCTCTGGTCATCTTCTGTACTGTGTCCGCAGTCTCTGGTCATTCCCTGTACTGTGTCCGCATTCTCTGGTCATCTTCTGTACTGTGTCCGCAGTCTCTGGTCCTTCCCTGTACTATGTCCGCAGTCTCTGGTCATCTCCTGTACTGTGTCCGCAGTCTCTGGTCATTCCCTGTACTATGTCCGGGGTCTCTGGTCATCTCCTGTACTGTGTCTGCGGTCTCTGTCATCTCCTGTACTGTGTCCGCAGTCTCTGGTCATCTCCTGTACTGTGTCCGCAGTCTATGGTCATCTCCTGTACTGTGTCTGCAGTCTGGTGTACTATGTCCGCAGTCTCTGGTCATCCCTGTACTATGTCCGCGGTCTCTGGTCATCTCCTGTACTGTGTCCGCAGTCTCTGGTCATCTCCTGTACTATGTCCTGCAGTCTATGGTCATCTCCTGTACTATGTCCGCAGTCTATGGTCATCTCCTGTACTATGTCCGCAGTCTCTGGTCATCCCCTGCACTGTGTCTGCAGTCTATGGTCATCTCCTGTACTGTGTCCGCAGTCTATGGTCATCTCCTGTACTGTGTCCGCAGTCTCTGGTCATCCCCTGCACTGTGTCTGCAGTCTATGGTCATCTCCTGTACTATGTCCGCAGTCTCTGGTCATCTCCTGTGCTGTGTCCGCAGTCTCTGGTCATCCCCTGCACTGTGTCTGCAGTCTATGGTCATCTCCTGTACTATGTCCGCAGTCTCTGGTCATCTCCTGTGCTGTGTCCGCAGTCTCTGGTCATCTCCTGTACTGTGTCCGCAGTCTCTGGTCATTCCTGTACTGTGTCCGCAGTCTCTGGTCATTCCCATGTGTCCGCAGTCTCTGGTCATCTCCTGTACTATGTCCGCAGTCTCTGGTCATTCCCTGTACTGTGTCCGCAGTCTCTGGTCATTCCCTGTACTATGTCCGCGGTCTCTGGTCATCTCCTGTACTGTGTCCGCAATCTCTGGCCATCTCCTGTACTGTGTCCTCAGTCCATTGGTTCAGAATATTTTTTTCCTTGTTTTTTCTCCTCTAAAACCTAGGAGCATCTTATGGTCAGGTGCGTCTTATGGAGCGAAAAATACGGTAAATCAATCAAATATAAATGTTAAATGTAAAATCCTATTGCTATTTTTTGGATCCATTGCTTTACAAAACTTTATACTTTTCTTCAAACTCAACAAAAGAGAACAGTAATATTCATTAGCACGTTCAGTTGTTTGAATTGGAAGTTGAAAAGACTCGGGGTTCATATCAAAGATCGGGTGGACGCGAGGTCCTTGTCTAGTATACATACAGCTGCTAGAAATATGTTTAATGGTTGATACTCACCGCAGTTGGCCTCGTCTGATCCGTCAGCACAGTCGGAGTCCTCATCACACACCCAGAGTTTAGATATACAGTGCTTTGTAGTTTTACATTGAAAGTGGTCCGGAGAACAGCTATTTTCAGCTAGTAGAGAACAAAACAGGAGCAGAATTCATCCATTTTAATAAGTGTACATTTTAATACGGAAGACATCTTCTCAAGCTCCTCATTCAATGGGTATTAATGCAAAAATTCCATTAGACATACATTGAAATGCCGAACGCTGTTTCAGAATCTCTGAAGAAGGTCGCTAGACTCTGCAATAATTACCGGTATTTTAGTAAGATAAGTTCCTTAAATAATTCATATAGATTTCCTCTAATGTGTAGGCTTTACACTGTATGTAAATGGAAATGACAATTATGAAGGAAATTATAATGTAAATGATCTTAAAGAGACAGAACAATTTGTTTAAAATAATCTATCATATTTATTTTTCAATTTATTATAATAACGACCAATTTCAATCAGGCAGCCAGCTATGATTTTCCAAAACTCCCTCCCCCCCCAAAAAAAAAAAAAAAAAAATCAAGCAATGCAACACTGCTTTAGGTTGGCTTTCCAGCACATTCCTCCACACCCTCTCACTTAAAGATTCTTGAAATGCAGCTGTCCAGTTTATCTGACATGGTTCCTGTAGATCAAATTGAGCTTGCACTTATCTTCATTGAGATAAATACAAAAGAAACTTCTGACAGCTACATAGACACTGAGGGAACTGAGAAAGTCAACGAGTTTCGTGCTATCGCAGCACTTAGTATGAAACGCGTCAACTTTGTCAGTCCCCACAGTGTCAATGTAGCTGTCAGAAGTTGCTTTTTATATTTCTCTCAATAAACTGTCCAGACCTATTATCTTACAAAAAAAAGTGTGGGCCCACTTACACTTCTGTATTGCAGTAACACATATAATGTGTTGATGCATTGCAATGTCATTTAGTTTGAATGACACCCCACCATACTATGGCAACAAACCTGTGTTTGTACCAAACTGCAATGCATGGAATCACATTGTAGTGTGTTTCCATGTGATAACATTACAAAAAAGGGTCATACATGATCTTAGGCTAGTTAGTGCATTTATATGTATAACACACATTGCATACACTGATGCATAGCATTGCCATTCATTTTGAATGGCACGCTAAAGCAGTAAGGCAACACATGTCTGAAGCTATGACACAGAGTGACAGTGTGCTGGGAATACTCACTAAGCACACAACTTTATGCTGACATGGAAACATATGTGCGGTGGCTGGGGGTTAAAGTTCACTTTTCTTGCTGCCGCATGTATGTGTGGTACCTTTGCTTGAAAGCGTGACCATGAATGCCTGGGACCAGGTGCAGACTGCAGTCATGTGAAAAATCTAACTAATCTACCTATTTAGGTAGCTTCCCGACTGAGAAAAGAGCTTTCACTGTGTGTAGTAATGAGACACGCTAAAACTCAAATGCACCCCTTTGAATAACTTCAAACCAGGTCCAGAACAGTTACTATAACCTTACTGATGAAACCTCAGCATAAGAGTTCAATGTGAACAATCTCAAACCTTAACACTAACTACATTTATTCAGCTGCCCCGGCATACCTCTGTGAAGTGATAGTCATGCAGGTAAAGTCCATTGTTGAAGATCCTCTGGAACCCTGGATGTCTGTAGAAGACTACAAGACACAGCAGTCCCTTCTCCAAGCGACTCTAGGTGGGAAAATCCGTGCCCAGGACCTTAGCTTTCCCTCTTTTTATAGCAAAGGTGGGCTGGCTGAGACCCAAAAGCCCAGGAACACATAATACATGCTTAACCCCTTCTTCCCCAGCCTAGGCCAGCCGCTAACTTACTAAAGCAGTGTTACAACCTGCTTACATGCATATATGCGCTGCACTGATGGCAAGATGTTAAAACATTTCTATCACTTGAATTAAAATGGCAATAACAGAGTCTTCTACTGGGTCCTGAAATGATGTGAAGGTTGGTGGGAAGCACCTCTGAAGTGGGGGAACACAGAAGAGTGACACTCCTGGTAGGGTTTGTTTAGCAGACACAATGGGGGAGAATTACTAAAAACTGGTGTACTCAGAATCTGGTGCATCTGTGCATGGTAGCCAAACAGCTTCTAACATCAGCTTGTTCAATAAAGCTTTGACAATAAAACCTGGAAGCTGATCGGTTGCTATTCAGAGCTGTACCAGATTTTGGATGTCCAAGTTTTAGTAAATCTCCCCCATATGTCAAGATTATAGTGGCGATCACTGGCACAGGCAGCAAGAAGGGTAAGTATTTACATAATTTTTGAAAATGGCCTTTTAATTTTAGCAAACACTTTTATCTTCAAAATACTGAATATCTAATGTCTCTTTACAAATAAGTGTCAACTTACGGCAGTCAATCTCATCCTCTTCATCCCCACAGTCATTCTGGCCATTGCAGCGTAAATTTAATGGGATGCATTTCTGCTTCTTGGTGCATTTGAACTGTCCTGACAAGCAGACATAGGTATCTGAAAAGACGTTGATAGACCAAGATCAGTATGCTTCCTGAAATCTATGGGCCCCCGTCGATGGCTGTTGTTCACAACACAACTCTCTTTGTTCCCATACAAGTTAATGTGAATGCAAAAACATCTTGAGGCAGGTTGATGTAGCTTAAAAGGAGGTTAAATATACCTTTCAATGAACTTTATCTTAGAAGTGTCTTAAACTGATAAAGGAATGCACCTGAAAGTAGGCAGCATTTGCCCATTGATAAAAGCCCAAAGCCAGTTGACACAGGCCACCAATTGTTGTTGATTGTCTACTCAAGTGTCATATATTTTTTTAAATTGAGTTTTATTGAACGTATACAACACAGTACAGCATGTGTCGAAGGCTATATACTAAAGGTAAGCATACCAACAAAGTGACTATTACCTCTCGCAGGAAGATTACATTACAAACAATATGAACTTAAAAATCTCTTACAATGCTTGAGAAACAACACTGCATATAGAAACAACACATATTATAAATAGGATAATGAGCCTAAAGAGAAAAGAAACAAGTAAAGAAAACAGGAACCTAACCTACAACTACAACCGTTGGTCCAAAAGGCAAATCTCCCAGGTTCAAATAAGAGTAGGATAACAGAAAAGTACAGAATTAACCTTCCAGTATGGAAGACAAACGAGCCAATACCCGTTAAGTAGCATAAAAATGAGAAAAGTAAATTCTCTGCATGCAGAACCATTGTCCAAGAGGTTCATAGGAAAAGGAGAATCAATCACGTATCTGACTCCACACAAGTATCAAATAACTCTATCCATGGACCCCATATTTGGTCAAATTTTGAGGACATTCCCTGGCTTCATAGGTTAACTTGTAAAGTGACAATACCTGGTTAATCCATTTTTTCCATATATTAATAGAAATGACTTCAAAATGAACCCATTTGAGTACCACCATTTTCCTAGCATAAAATAAAAGATAACAAAGAAATTGTATCTGATAGAAGCTGAGGTCTATATCTTCTAACACCCCTAATATACACCATTTGGGATTACAAACATTTGGTAAATCGAAATGCGTAGCAATAAACCTGGTAACATGTGACCAAAAGGGACAAATCTTTTCACATCTCCAAAGCATGTGACAAAGATCTCCCCTAGAATTATGACATTCAGGGTTATCCTTCTTGTGCATCTGAAAGATCAAGTGTCATTTTTTACTTCTCATGTGGCATAATCACCTACCACAGTTGAGTTCATCAGAGTTGTCTCCACAGTCATTTTCTCCATCACAGATAAAAGCAGGGAGGGCACAGAGTCCACTGCCACACTGGAACCTTCCTGGCTGGCACTTGAACTCAGCTGTCAGATTAGAAAAGGAAATAATTTACCATTCATAAAGAGAAATAAAACACAGTTTAGAAGGAAGCTATAGTAGTATGGGTTCAGCTTGTACAAGGTTTAATGCTGTTTCTCCTTTTTTTTGGGGGGTGGGGCACCCAAAACTCCCAGGTGGACAGGGATAATGGAAGGAGATGTCACTGTTGGAGTATCCAAGCCATAAAAGAAACCAGGGTCTGGCTCCGCCCAGCAGATTGGACTAGCCCTTGAAGAGTGGTTAAGCTTAGTTGGCAAAAAAAAGAAAAAAAAAAGTAATATGAAAGAGCCAAATGTTTTTCTTACAACTAATGATATCCACAAAATAATTATAAATTGATTTTATGGAAATGTTTTAATCCAGAGACTAAATGTGACTCTCCTTGGGGGTAAGGAAAGATTTTTTTTTATTTCTAGCAAACGGCAACATTGATCACAGTTACCCAGGAGTTTTTGTATTATCTTCCTCTACACCTTGAAGTTTGCTAAAAGCTGTACTTGACATCTTGACTTGGATATTTCTGTTCATTCTAATCAACTCTGAATCAACATCAGCTACTGTGCTGTGCAATTGTTTTCAACCGTATCAGTTTTCTCTTGTTGTGTAGTTTACCTTTGCTTTCAAGAGAAAGTGATGTTAAAAATGTAAACCATAATAGAATTTTTAGTAGCATTCAGAAGTATTTAGAAGTATTAAGGAATGTTAGGGTTATTGTAGCTCTTTTCTAGCTTTTTTTTCCTTTACATGTACTGTAAAAAAATGCTGTTAGGAATGTTTTAGTAGCGTTTAGCAGCATTTAGGAGTGTTTAGTGGGTTTTTCTGTTGGAATAACGCTCCAAAAAACATTTTTTTTTCTGCTCCTAGATGCTGAAGCTCAAAAAAATGCTAATAGTCTAAAGTAGTATGCATGGACACATAGGATAACACAATTTAGCTTCTAGGAGCAGAGAACAATTGCTGATAATAGCTTCTAGGAGCTTAAAAAAAAGCTAGTGTGCATGGAGCTGAATGGTTTCTAAAAGAGGCATGCACTTTGCCTGACTCGGTATGCCAACTTACAGTTGGTCTTAAGTACCTCTAGTTGAAGGCAATAGTTTTTGAATTTGGTACAGTAATATTGCCACTTTGTTAAACTGGCACTATTAAAGTGGTTCTAAAGGCTAGACATTTTTTACCTTAATACATCCTCTGCATTAAGGAAAAAAAAGTCCCTCTATTTGCATTGCCCCCTCTCCCCCCTGAGCCTGCTTTTGATCCAGCACTGTGTCCATTTGCAGAGGCTCTCACCTCTCTCCCTGCACACACAGGCAGCAGCAGGACTCATTGGCTCCTATGAGCTAAGAATGGAGCAGGGCTGTGCCAACAGATGTACACCGTCCAGCTTCAGAGCGAGCTTGCAGGTGCATGCCCATAGGAAGCAGCTTACTAGGATAGGGCACAAAGAAGAGGAGGAGCTCATAACGCTGGTGAGGAACCTGAGAATAGGGGGTCAGAATCACTTTGTGCAATACCATCACACAGAGCAGGTAAATATAACATGTTTATTATTTTAATTTAAAAAAACAATATTTACAGTCACTTTAAGAACGGCCTGAATCTGCTGCATGTGTTGGTAATGCTACCAAAGTGAGCGGCAGAGATTTGGAGGCCATACCTCCAGAAACGTATTGCTAGGGCTTTATTGAATTTCCCCCAATGTCTTTATAGACTTGTCCTTGTGTACCAGGGCAGAGACACGCTGGAACAGAAAAGGACCTTCCCCAAGCTGTTACCATAAGGGTTAAAAGTGCACAGTTCTCTAACATGTTTTTGTAGGTTATAGTGTTAACAGCATCCTTCACTGAAACATCGGAAATCAGTGATTTGGAGATGATGTTTATACATACTTTTGGCCCGATAGTAGGTGTTACGAACAGCTGTCCACAAACATCTTACCACAGAAAGTAAGAAACCAACAGGTTACTCAGGCCACCAGAACTATGAATCAAATGTCACTTTACGGAGGACTGATCTATTAATGTGTACACTCTAAAAGAAAGTAGGTGGCAATTTTTAAAACAAGAAAACTGCAGCACCGTTCCTAAATTGTGACTTAACAGGGCAAGGTGGGCAGATGGACTGTGACCATATCTCTTCCAATTCTAAAATGGCAACCCCGGCAAAACCAAGTAAATGCCTTGTCAATGGCACAGGCTAATGCATTCTCCACTACATCAACATCAAAACTAAAAAAAAAGCCTCTTGTTTTCATTCCAATTAAGAAACATATTGCAGGCATGCCAACATAGAAGCTTTACATTTGTTATGCCAATTGTTATTCCCATTGCATGCCAACAACAGAACTCAACTGTAAAACATGCTGGATAATTAACCAATGTGTCCCATTTTTGAAGTGTAAATCTTGTTCATATTTAATTTAGTTGCCTTTTCTCTAGCAGGTATTAGAGTGTGAAGTAGTTTGCATTTTGAACTTTTTTTTGCACGTTTTACAGAACGCGGCAACAGCTGGTGTACTGTTAATTAGTTCATAAGCGTGAACTTCATGCATGTACTGTGCTATGTAACAGGACAGACTGTAACTGTCTGTTGGCTCTGAATTACAGATTCAATTTAAAAAAAGTCAAGTTAAGGTACCTTGTACAGTCACTAACAGACAGGAATAATGTGATAGTCAAAGGAGTCCGACACAACGTAGGGTACCATTATCAGAAATAATATGTGTAAATGAAAAAGTAATAGCAGCTTACTAAAATGACTGTTATAATTATCTTGATGACTGATGTGGAAAATAAAAACTTTTGGCCAATCAGAAAACCCATCTGGTAAAAGCTTGTGGTGTGCACTTAGTATCGAATATGCAAAACACTACACTACAATGCACATAGTTTATAAAACTGCTACTGCTATCAACCTTGTGGAAGCACAGGGACTTAGTGGTTAGCACTCCTGCCTTGAAGCATTGAGGTCCTCCAAATTCAAACCAGCACACTACCTACATGGAATTTGCATGCTGAGCCTGTGCTTGAATGGGTTTCTTCCAAGTATTCTGGTTTCCTGCCACACATGCTGGTCGGTTAATTGTCTCATGTCTAATTTGGCCCTAGTATGTGTATGTATGTGAGTTATGGACCTTAAATTGTAAGCATCTTGAGGGCAGGGACTGCATGTGAACATACAATATGTAAAGTACTTTATAAATTGTTGGCGCTATATAAATACCTAAAAAAAATAATCAGATTCATACTTTTTTTTTTTCAGAGAAATGCATAACCCCAAAATGAGTCAACTAAAACCCCAAAATGCTTGTTGTTAAAAATAATAAAGCTTTAATATAATTATCAAGGTTAATAAAAAAAAGATATAATATCACTTCTAATGAAGCGACTTCATCAAGATTAATAAAAAAAGGTGTAATATCACTTACAATGAAGTGACTTCATCAAGATTAATAAAAAAGGTATAATATCACTTACAATGAAGTGACTTCATCTGGATTTATCACCAGAATGGCCCCTTGTTAATGCCGTCAAACTTTCTGGCAATGGTGCCCTACTGACAGCTTTGCTTCCAAATGTCTAAAAAAATAGGTTTTAATTTTCAGTATTTCTTGCTAATTAAATAGATCACTTTACTGGAGCCTAAGGATGGCCTATTAGCAGTAAAGAAACAACTTCATACATTTTCTTTTTTAGGTATGTAAATATGAGAAACAGCAAGTGAATATTTCATATTACATTCTACAGAGCTGTTTTAGGCTTCGGCACAGCTCCGGGCATTTAGCTCCAGTGCATAAGGCTCCAGCGTTTAGCTGTTGCAGGAGGACACAGGTGCACCATCAAGCCCCACTGCCAGTAGTCTGTCTTATTCTGTGAGAGTCTGACAGCTGCTGCAGCTTGCTGAGGCTAGGCTGTGCATGTAGGGGTAGGTACTGTACATTTGTGGGCAGTATGCACGTAGGGACAACACCCCGAAAAACAAGTTGTCTGCGTTATGGGCCTCTAAGTGCATACTGCCCTAATGTACACACCGCTCAGTGCACCACCCAACCCGGTCCAGCATGGTTACCAGCCCAGTTTGCATCTCAAGCCCAGGATTCAGCTTCCGCCCACATCCAGGCCGCAGTGACATCACATCCGGAGCATCACGATCTTCAGCTGGCTCGGTTACACACCGCTGTACAGCCTTCCTTCCCGGTTCGAGAACATTGAGGAGCGGATGCTCCATCGCACAATCCTGGCACAGACTGCATTATTTGTAATCCTATTCAAGGCTCTTTTTGGATCAATAAAGGTATACCTCCTTGGGATGTGGATATTGTTTTAGTACATTTTCACAGCGCTGTTCTCTTGGGCTGGTATATACAATACATAGCTAAGATTGAAGTGTGTGTGCACAATCCCACTCTCTTCATTTAGAGTTATATGGAGATTCAATTAGAGATAGACAGTCTGAAAGCAAACAGCCTCTGATGACGCTGTATGACATCAGAGGCATGCAATTGCATTGTGTAAACATTAATTTGTAAAAGAGACATTTAATATAAATATATAAAAAGTAAAAACAATAAATAAAACTGACTTAAATCCATTCCCTCTAAACCAAAAATTACTATGAGCAATAAAACAAAAAGATACACTTACGACATTCTGGGGGCTCATCTGATCCATCGCCACAGTCATCTACCGTGTCACACTTCCACCAGAATGGAATGCATTTATCTGTATTACACCGAAACTAAACCAAAAAATATAGACGTTTAAGGTTAATTACATCCTCAGTTGTTGCTACCAATGGTCATTGTTCTAAATCGCTCCACCCAACCTATATTAAGGTTTTGGCTGTTTAATGTGAATATTCTTTTGTCAGTTCAGAATACAGAAATTATTGGAGTGTTTCAAAGCCATGATTCCTTTGAAGTTCTTCACAGAGCCTTTCTCGATGAATCTAAATGTGACAGACGTTCCGTAGTTAGCTAAACCTGTTATGAGCAAAACTGTGACTGTTCTGCTCCTTGGAAATGAATGTGTCAAGACCCCACAAAACAATCTGAGATGTGTCCCAAATCAAACGTGCCACTTCTATCGCCCGGCTGTATTACTTATGTAAATCTGGCTATGATAGGTATGAATTTCTCAAGCTTTCAAGAAGTAATCAGCCCTGCATTTGTAATTTGCAGCTTTAATACCACTATTCTGCATGCAACTGCAAAGGGGCAGTGAGATATCCTCCATCAAGAAGAAACTAGCAAGTTTCCAAAAGTCCACTGAATTCATCTAGGATTTGTAACTAGAGATTACAGAACTCCATGGCTGATGTGTCAGCTGAAACCCAGTTCGCTATTCAGTCTTGCAAAGTTATACCGGCTCCTCTCATGTGCTGAAACTGCTTACTCTGATTTCACTGCACACTGTGAGCTTCTCACATTGTGCATTAGAAGCTGCAGCAAGTCACATAGAGCTTACCTCATTTCCTTGCCTGAGGACAAACAGCATCATCTAACCCTAACCTCCTCAATCATAAAGTCCCTGGCTTGTCCCTGTCATTCATTGGTATTTATTTCTTTCAATCATGGAGGCTTATCTAAGGAGATCTGTATTCAAATGCAATCTGCCTAGGAGAGCCCACTCCCCAAGAGTGACACTGCCTATCAAGGCATTTGACTTTTGCATATCTACATCCAAGAGCCAATCCACTGCTTGCATCAAGGCTGATGATGCTGAAAGGAGTATTCTTTTCACCAATTTCTAGCTAAGCATAACAATTGCCACAACATTTCATAGAAAAGCATTAACAGCAATTCACGCTAGTAGTTTTGCCAACAAGTTGAAACATTGACGGATCTCAATAGCTGTCAGAGTGAAAAATTGAATTGAAAATGTTAGTGTTAGCGACCCCATAGATTCCACACAGCTACAAATTACTGTTAGAAAACAGGGGGCTAATTGTTGTAAGGAACTCACTAAGAGGCCTTCAGCTTTAAAATGTATCTATGGTCTGAATGTAAAATCGTATATTAATTTCCACATTGTATTTCAATTATGCAATAAACTTACTTTGTGAAGATCCCCACAATTTCACTTCTTTGAATTATGTGACACAGTCACTATGCCCTGAGATTAGGCACTGATGTGTCACACATTTCTCAGAGCCTGCCTTCTGAACTACAGAGGAGCAGAGTGGAGGAGTTTCAGGAGCTTTCAGGATCACTGCTTGCAAAGTACCATGGGACATGTAGTCCTTAGAAAGTAAACACAGAGGAGAAGCTCAAACATGCATGGAATCCAGGCATGTTGTGGAAAAGTACTAGCATGGGCACATTGGAGGATTAGATTCACCCTTAGACTAAGTGAAAACATTTGCAGAGAAAATCGCTGAGAAAAAGCTGCAAAGCAGGTCAAAGGGGAACCCATGCTGGCTGATGAGACATTTATCCACAGGGTTGTGTTCCGAAAGAGATGACTAGACAGCTATGCAGAGCAGCAGAGCTGGCACATGATTGGAGGATTGATGGCAGCACAGATTCACCTCATCACTAAACTAAGTGAAAATTCCATTTGCAAAATGGAAAATCGCTGTCAAAGAAACATGCTCCATCCCTCTATCAGGTAAATGATACATTGTTGTTTTTCCTCTTAGCTAATGTGGGGGGGGCAGTGTTACTCGCTATTCTTATTTATATGCAGGTCAAAGGGGAACCCTTATGCTGGCTGATGATGACATTTACAAATTTACAAAAAAAGTGTTCTTTTAATATCATTTGTTTTCTCAACCCCATGTTAATCCTCTGTTAACCTATGGCTTTCATTCGCCCCAAAAGAGCAGTGCCATGTAATGGCACAGAGTACTTTCTACATCGGACAGAGCCAGACTGAAGGTGAGTACTGCAGCAAAAAAAATACTGATTGGCTGTCAATTTTTTTATTTTTACTGAAAGTCTGCTTTAGGCTAGCAGACATATCTTTTGTTTCACAGTAATCCACTACACAGCACCAAATCTGAGGTATGGCAAGGAAAGACACGTTTCCATGGCAGCCAAGTAACATTGTTACATAGTCTGGCTGAAAAAAGACAAAAGTCCATCAAGTTCAACCAAAAAAAAAAGTTATAGTCCTATACCCACAGTTGCTCCAGAGGAAGGAAAAAACCCAGTAAAGTATGATCCAATTGGCTCCTGCAGGGAAAAAAATTCCTTCCTGATCCCCTGAGAGGCAATCGGCTATTCCCTGGATCAACTTTATCTATATATATACAGTATATATTATATATATATATATATATATATATATATATATATATATATTAGTATCCAGTTATATTCTGTGTATCTAGGAAATAATCCAGGTCTTTTTTAAAGCAATCCACTGAGCTGGCCAGAACCAACGCTTGAGGGAGTCTATTCCACATTTTCACAGCTCTTACTGTGAAAAAACCTTTCCGTATTTGGAGATTAAATCTTTTTTCCTCCAGATGTAAAGAGTGCAACCTTGTCCTCTGTGATGACCTCAGGGTGAATAACTCTACACCGAGTTCACTATATGAACCACTGATGTATTTGTACATGTTGCTCATATCCCCCCTTATGTATTATACATGGAGATCATATCCCCCTTATGTATTATACATGGAGATCATATCCCCCCCTTATGTATTATACATGGAGATCATATCCCCCCTTATGTATTATACATGGAGATCATAGCCCCCCTTATGTATTATACATGGAGGTCATATCCCCCTTATGTATTATACATGGATATCATTTCCCCCCTTATGTATTATACATGGTGATCATATCCTCCCCTTATGTATTATACATGGAGATCATATCCCCCCTTATGTATTATACATGGAGGTCATATCCCCCCTTATGTATTATACATGGAGTCATATCCCCCTTATGTATTATACATGGAGATCATATCCCCCCTTATGTATTATACATGGAGATCATATCCCCCCTTATGTATTATACATGGAGATCATATCCCCCCTTATGTATTATACATGGAGATCATATCCCCCTTATGTATTTACATGGAGATCATATCCCCCTTATGTATTATACATGGAGATCATATCCCCCCTTATGTATTATACATGGAGATCATATCCCCCCTTATGTATTATACATGGAGATCATATCCCCCCTTATGTATTATACATGTTGATCATATCCTCCCTTAATCTCTTTTTCTCAAGAGAAAATACATTCAGTTCCTCTAATCTTTCCTCATAGCTGAGCTCCTCCATGCCTCATATCAGTTTGGTTGCCCTTCTCTGTACTTTCTCCAGTTCCCCAATGTTCTTTTTGTGAATTGGTACCCAAAACTGAACTGCATATTCCAGATGAGGTGTTACTAATGATTTGTATCGGGTAAAATTATATCTCACTCTCCGGAGTCTATACCTCTTTTAACATAAGAGAGGATTTTGCTCGCTTTAGAATCCGCAGCTTGGCATTGCATGCCATTATTAAGCTTGTGATCTACGAGAACTCCCAGATCCTTCTCCACCACCATTGATTCCACCAGTTGTACCCCCCTAGTACAGTTGTGTTCAAAATAATAGCAGTGTGTTGAAAAAAGTGAATAAAGCTCAAAATCCTTCTAATAGCTTTTATTTCCATACACACAAATGCATTGGGAACACTACACATTCTATTCCAAATCAAAACATCAAGAGAAATATGTCAAATTTGTGTTGTTCCTCTAAAAAAATTGAAGAAAAGTGAATATTAGACTGTTCAAACAAATAGCAGTGTTTGTATTCTTCTTTACAAACTCAAACATTCACTATATAAACTGAAAAATGTTTGAAGATTTTGCTTTCCTTTGAATCAATTATTATTTAGTTGTATAAGCACTGTTTCTGAGAACTGCTGTACATCTGTGTTGCATGGAGTCAACCAACTTCTGGCACCTGTGATCAGGTATTCCAGCCCAGGATGATTGGACTACATTCCACAGTTCTTCTCTATTTCTTGGTTTTGCCTCAGAAACAGCATTTTTGATGTCACCCCACAAGTTTTCTATTGGATTAAGATCCGGGGATTGGGCTGGCCACTCCATAACGTCAATCTTTTTGGTCTGGAACCAAGATGTTGCACGTTTACTGGTGTGTTTGGGGTCATTGTCTTGTTGGAACACCCATTTCAAGGGCATTTCCTCTTCAGCATAAGGCAGCATGACCTCTTCAAGTATTCTGATGTATTCAAACTGATCCATGATCCCTGGTATGTGATAAATAGCCCCCAACACCGTAGTATGAGAAACATCCCCATATCATGATGCTTGCGCAACCATGCTTCACTGTCTTCACAGTGTACTGTGGCTTGAATTCAGTGTTTGGGGGTCGTCTGACAAACTGTCTCCGGCCACTAGACCCAAAAAGGACAATCTTACTTTCATCAGTCCACAAAATGTTGCGCCATTTCTCTTTAGGCCAATCAATGTGCTCTTTGGCAAATTGTAACCTCTTCAGCACATGTCTTTTTTTCAACAGTGGGACTTTGAGGGGGGCTTCTTGCAGATAGCTTGGCTTCACATAGGTGTCTTCTAATTGTAACAGTACTCACAGGTAACTTTACACCTTCTTTGATCTTCCTGGAGCTGATTGTTGGCTGAGTCCTTGCCATTTTGGATATTCTTCTATCCATTCAAATGGTAGTTTTTCGCTTTCTTCCACGTCTTTCAGGTTTTGGTTGCCATTTTAAA